AGGAGAAAAATGGATGAAAAAATAGAATAGAATATGCAAGAACTGTGGGATAATTGAAAACTTTTTAAGTATAAGCATTCGCTATTTTATCAATAATGAATAACCTTTTAAAACAGAGGGTACCAGTCCTGGACGGGCTCACTGGTCAATTCTACCAAACATTATAAAGGGAAATTACACCAATTTCACCAATTCTCTGCAGTCTTTTGCAGACTAGAAACAGAGGGAAAACTTCCTAACTTATTCTGAGGTCAGCATGACCCTAACACTCAAATGAAAGACAGTATGAGAAAGGAAATGACAGACTAATATCTCTCAGAGCATAGATATAAAAATCCTCAAGAAAATATTAGCAAATTGAATCCAATAATGTATATAAAGTCTCATATTCCATGACCAAATGGGATTTTCCAACATATGCAAGGCCAGTTTAATATCTGAAAAGAAATTAATGTAATCTATCACACCAACAGACTGAAGAAGAAAAATCATAAAATCATATCGATAGATATAGAAAAATCATTTTACAAAATGATTTTACAAAATACAACACTCATTTATGATAAACATTCTCAGCAAACTAGGAATAGAGGGAAACTGTTTCAACTTGATAAAGAACCTCTACAAAAAGCCTGCAGCTATCATCGTCTTTAATGCTGAGTAACCAGTTAAGATCATGAACAAGGCAAGGATGTCGCTTTTCACCACTTCAATTCAATGTCATATTGTAAGTCCTAGTTAATGCAATATAAAAAAGAAAAGGAAACGAAAATATGTAGATTGGGAAGGAAGAAGTAAAGCTGTCATTCACATATGACCTGATTGTCTATGTAGAAAATCCCAATCAATAAACAGCAAAGACACAAAAATTCCTAGAACTATGAAATAATTAAGCAAAGTTGCAGGATATAAGTTTAATATAGAAAAGTCACTTAATTTCATACTGGTAATGAACAATTTAAATTTAAAAGTAAAAACACCATTTATATTAGCACATGTTACAAAAAGAAAGAAATACTTAAGTATATATCTAATAAAATATGTACAGGATCTGAATGAGCAAAACTACAAAGCGCTGATAAAAATATCAACGATTATCTAAATGGGAGAAACTCATTGTTCATTTATTGGAAGATTCAGTATTGTTAAGATACCAGTTCTCTCCAAATTGATCTGTAGATCCAACGCAATCCCAATCAAAATTTCATCAAGTGACTTTGTGGATTTCAACAAGCTGACTTTAAAGTTTATATCGAAAGGCAAAAGATCCAGAATTGCCAACATGACATTGGAGGAGAAGAACAAAGTTAGATGACCAACACTAACCTACTTCAAAACTCATTATAAGTCTACCATGATCGAGACAGTGTGGTATTGGTGGAAGAACAGATGCATATTTTATTTCAAGGACCGGAATAGAGAGCTCAGAAACAGATCTTTAACAAAGGAGCCAAGGCAGTACAATAGAGAAGAATATCTTTTCAACAAATGATGCTGGAACAACATCCACATGCAAGTGTGTGTGTGTGTGTGTGTGTGTATGCATACATCTTACAGCTTTCATTAAAATTAAGTCAACATTTATCATAGACCCAAATATCAAATGAAAAACTGTGAAACTCCTAGAAGATAACACAGGAGAAAATCCATGTGATCTTGGGTATGACAATGGGTTTTTAGATATAACACCAGAAGCATGATCCATGAAAGAAATAATTGCTAAGTTGGGCTTTATTAAAATTTAAAACTCCTGCTCTGGGAGAGGCACTGTTAGAATAATGGAAGGACAAGTCACAGGCTGGGAGAAAGTATTTGCAAAACACATAAAGAACTTGTATCCAGTATGTACAAATGACTCTTAAAACTCAACAACAAGAAAATAAACTGTTCAATTGAAAGTGGGCAAGAGTTCTGAGCAGGCACCTCACCAAATAAGTGATATAGATGGCAGATAAGCATGTGAAAAGCTTGTTACTAGTATACATCATCAGGGAATTGCAAATTAAAACAACAACAATACATCACTATACAACTGTCAGAATGGCTGAAATCCAAAACACTGAGAACATTCAGTGTTGTCAAGAATGTGGAGTAACAAGAACTCTAATTTATTGCTGGTGGGAATGCAACATGATACAGCTACTTTGGAAGACAGTTTGCAAGTTTCTTACATAGCTAAACATAGTTTTACCATATGATCCAGCCATTGTACTCCTAGATATTTTTCTGAATGAGTTGAAAACTTATGTCCACTCAGAAACCTGAAACAGCAGTAGTTATAGCAGCTTTACTCATGATCGCCAAAAATTGGAAGCAAGCATGATGTTTTGCAATAGGTGAATGAATAAACTGTGGTATATAAATACCACACAATATTATTTAAAGATAAAAAGAAATGGGTTATAAAGGCATGAAAAAACATGGAAGAACATTAAATGCACATTGCTAAGGGAAAGAAACCACTTTGAAAGGCTACATACTGTATAATTCTAACTATATGACATTCTGGTAAAGGCAAAACTGTAGACAGTGAAAAGATCAATGATTGTCAGGGGAGGAGTGGAGGGGGAGAAGAGAAAGGATGAACAGGCGGAGCACTGGGAATTTCTAGGGCCGTGAAATTATTCTTTATGTTACTGTAATGATGGATACAAGACATTGTGCATTTGTTGAACTTGGAATTCTACAACACAAAGAATGAATCCTAATGTAAACTATGTACTTTAATCCTAATGTAAACTATGTACTTTAATTAATAATAATGTACTGGCATTGGTTCATCAATTGTAACAAGTTTTACGCCAATGCAAGGTGTCAGTGGGAGAAACTGTTGGGTGAGAAGGAAAGGGAGTATGTGGAAACTTGCCATTTTCTATTTAATTTTTTTGTAAACCTAAATTGCTCTAGAAAATAAAGGCTATTGATTTAAATAAAAGGGGGAACAAAAATTTTAGGGGTGATGGATAGGTTGATTATCTTGATTATGGTGATGGTTTCATTGGTGTACATGTGTCAAAACATTAAAACATGTACACCTTAAATATGTGCAGTTTATTTTATGTTAACTGTACTTCAATAAAGCTGATAAACCACAATACCAAAATGCACACACACTTCATTTGGAGGCTGTTTTCTTATGAAAAGGGAACTGACTCGGCTGGCGTGGTTTTCCCTTGTCCTATACCGTTTTCTCTTGGAATGTAGACACATTGTTTACTGACACAGAATCCTTTTTGAGACCATGAGAATAATGGTCATGAGAAAAGTCTGAAGGATCAGAAAGACAGAAGGAACCTGGGACCTCTTGGGTGATTTTTGGAGTCACCATATTAGCCCTAGACTGCCTCAGTCTAGGAGGGGGAGAAAGAGAAAGAGAGATAGAGAAACACATCCATGTGAGAGAGACACATCGATTGGTTGCCTCCCGCATGACCCCAATCAGGGCTGGGGACCGAACTGCAACCAAACTATAAACAAGGTACATGCCCTTGACTGAAATTGAACTGAGTCTCTTTGATCCTGGGCTCACTCTCTAACCCCTGAGCCAACCCCACCAGGGCAGGAGCTCTTGTTTGGAGGAATTTACTCCTATTTGGTTAACCCACTGCAGTTGAGTTTCTTTTATAAGTAACTAAAGTTAGCAATTCCTAACTGACATAGTTATTCATTCATTGTGTTTATAAAATATTTTTTTCAAAAAGAAACAAAAGTCTTAATTATTGGAAATACAACATTTTGCAAATCTTTCCATAATGAAATATAATCCTGTTCTTTCTTCTTCCTTCCTTCCTTCCTTCCTTCCTTCCTTCCTTCCTTCCTTCCCTCCCTCCCTCCCTCCCTCCCTCCCTCCCTCCCTCCCTCCCTCCCTCCCTCCCTCCCTCCCTCCCTCCCTCCCTCCCTTCCTTCCTTCCTTCCTTCCTTCCTCATCTGAGGATGTTTTTCTGTTTATCCTCAGATAGAGTGGGAGGGAGGGAGGGAGAGAGAAAAATTGACGTAAGAGGGACACATCAACTGGTCACCTCCTGCACTACCCCGACCAGGGCCTGGGATGAACCCCAACGATTCCCTGACAGGAATCAAACCTGCAACTCATTGGTCTGCAGGCCAACGCTCTACCATTGAGCCAAACTGGCTAGGGCTCTTTTTTTTTTTTTTAATCCTCACCTGAGGATATTTTTCTATTTATCTTCAGATAGAGTGGGAGGGAGGGAGACAGAGAGAAACATTGAGGTAAGAGAGACACATGAACTGGTTGCCTCCCGCACGACCTTGACCAGGGCCAGGGATGAACCGCAACCGAAGTACATGCCCTTGGCTGGAATCGAACCCATGACTCTTTGGTCTGCGGGCCAACATTCTGCCGCTGAGCCAACCAGCCAGGGCTATAATCCTCTTCTTATAGATTGCTTTGATAAGGCCAGGGATCACTACTAAGTTGAAAGAGGAATGGATGAGGAAAGTGGAGATTTTTACCCTAAAGAAAAGCCTGAATATTAAGGAAAGACTTTTAAATAGAAGTGTTATTGGATTTATGTCTGGCTACATGAAATATACCACATATAAAGAGCTCGTTATATGGAAGAACTTTTAAATCCATGTTAAAGATATGCAAAGATGGAATAAGCTGTGAAGGGTATAGAGTTTTCTGATGTGTTCAAGCCTAGTCTGAATAACTATTTGACAGGAGATTTTATTATTACTTTCCAAATAATATAATCCAAAGTATATAAGTGAATAATTTTGTCAGATAATGTATGGCAAAGCAAAAACTGGAATCCAGAACACCATGGTTTCAAAGATCATACTCTTTTCATTAAACCACACCATCTCCAGGAGATGATTACAAAGGACATTTAAATAATAGATGAGAATTTGATTAGATGAGCTTTAAGGTGCCTTCCCAGACTGAAATTACACATTTCTCAAAGGAAAGGGGAAAACAAAATTTAGGGTATTACATAAATTAAAAATGAGGATGTCTGTTGCATTTAAGGATCTGTTCATTTTAGTGAAGTCTTCATACTTACTAGGAGCCCTGGTTCAGGAATTGGAGAAGGCTTTGCAAACCGCTTATCAAGTTTTCTCTTCTCTTTCCTTAGGTTTTGCATAGCCTGAATACGTTTATATATGGACTTCAGAAAATCAAAAGAAAAAAAAAATCATACTTTTTATAACAACAAGGTAACATGCTGATTATATTTTTGGTTTATGTCAATAAAAAAGATAAGCACAATCAGTGCATATGTTTTACATGGCTTCATAGAAGTAGGAAACAATTTTTTTTTAATTGTGTGATTTATAGGTGAAAATACACATTAGACTATTAGAATATTCAAAAGAGACTATTTACTCTTACTATCCCCACTTTACCAACTGTGTACATTTAGATAGATCCAAGATTCATGAGTGTGTGTGTGTGTGTGTGTGTATAAATATATATATGAAACAATGTTGAGAAGAATAAATTATATACCAAATTTTATGTGCTTATATGTTTATAAATTTCAAAACCAAGCAACTCAAACAATATACTTTAGAGGCACATATGTGACAAACTACTTTAAAAAAATGAGATTGATAAAAGTAAAATCCAAGATAGTGGCTACCTCAGAGAGGGCTAGGGAGGTAGAATTGGGAAACAGCTGCTAAATGAGTTCGAGGATACCTGTAATGTTTTCTTAAATTGGAGGTATATTTTATTATTCTGCTTTACAAATTATATATTTTACATATATTCTTTTGTATGTATCACGTGTTACATTTAGAAAATGATAATATAAGCCATTTAGGTTATCCTAGTTAAAACTCATTTTAATGGTAAGTCACAAATCCCAGAGTCTCCGGAAAGATTTCACAGAAGTGTCTGTCTAATAAAAGCTCTGTCATATTAGGGATCACCACACATGAAGAACAAGATAAAATCATGATTTTGAAATACCCAGGATGATTTATTTAAACATACCTGCTTTTCATCGACTTCTGAAGGATGATGCCGTCTTGGGCCTTCCTACAAAATATGTAAAATAGTTAAAAGAAAGAAAAACCCATGAAGTCATGAGCAAACAAAAAGATTAGTTATTATAATAGGGAAGCCTACATTACTGTTTTTTTTTTTTCATTAAAAAGATTAGTTATTATAATAGGGAAGCCTACATTACTGTTTTTTTCATTAATATATGCATATTATCTCAACGGCAAGAGGCAGGATCAGAAGTATATCAAGGTATAAAACCAAGGTAGAGATTGGCCGTGGTATTATGAGAGAACCAGCTACAAACCACATTACAGATATGAAAATTGATAAAAGGAAACCTCATTTAAAATGGAGTCAGGAGGCCAGAAGAGGGTGCCCTCAGGCACCACCACCGGGCATCAGTTACCACCCTATCAGGAAGAGTTGTCAGCCGTGGACCTCAGTCAGCCGTGGACCTCAACCAGGAGAGACTTACTCCAGCAGGAGGAAGGAAGTTTTTCTTCCTTGCAACTTAGCCAAGGAGAAACTACCACTACCCTGAACTCTCATTTCTTTTTCCAATGGATTTCTCTTCAAAACAGTCCCTCCCAAATTCTTATTTTTTCTCTATAAAGTTCCTCTCCTTGGCTTGCTGCATTAGCCTATAGTTTTTGCTATTGCATGCTTGTCTAGAATAGCAATTCTCTGCTATTCCCAAACATACCCATCATGTTGCTAAAATAGTTGGTTGTTTTATTTTTTAGGATAACACAGGAAACCTGTTTACTACTGTGATTTATTCTGGAAGAAAAAGATGTAGAGCCTGGCCAGTGTGGCTCAGTGGATTGACCATCTTCCTGGGGACGGAGAGGTCCCGGTTGGATTCCTTGTCAGGGGACATGCCCGGGTTGCAGGCTCGATCCCCAATAGGGGGCGTGCAGGAGGAAACTCGTCGGTATCTCTCTCATATAGAAGTTTCTATTCTCTCCCTTCCTTTCTCTCTCTAAAAGATAGGGGGGGGGGAGAGAGAGAGAGAGAGAGAGAGAGAGAGAGAGAGAGAGAGAGAGAAGGATGTAGAATACATTTTAAAAATTTATGTTTCTGTTGGTAGAAGACTTCAGTGGTGCCACATTGATCTTTGCTTAAGGAACTGGTTTTCAGTCTGGCTTCCACAGCCTGGTAAAGCTGGGGTGATTGAGAAACTCCACCAGATGGTTTGGTTTTCTGAGGCACACGGAGTTTGGCTGGTAGTTTATGGGGTTTCAACACCTGCCTCCAATTTCTAAATTATACCGCCAGTAGTTTTCCCCCATCCTCGTTTTGATCCAATTGTTTAACCCAAAGCCCTAAAAGCAATCTCCTCTCCACCTGAATATTGGGAAGTTCTGTAACCCCCACCTCTGTAACCCTTACCCCACCTTCAGGGGCAGCTCAGTGGGTCAGTCAACAACAGTGATTAGACCGTGGCTGGCCCTTCGAAGGCACAGGGTGGCGCTTTTCCTTGTTCTAGCAGGTCTTGCAGCCCAGGATCTAGTCTACTGCACCAGGGATTTCCCAATCCCCAGCACCAAACCGCGTGTGCGGTAGCCTGGTGCTGGAGTGGCTGCTCTGGCCTCCAAGCTCATAGCCTGGGCAGAAGGGACAGAGGCGAGCTTAAGGGCAGGAGACTCACGGGGCTAACTTGGGTGCTTTCGTCCCCTAAACAGTGCAGGCACATGCTTCAGAGCCGCAGAGCGCCCCTGGCGCCCACTGCCTGGTCTCCGCGGAGTAATTGCAGGCACACCGCCCACCACGCTGGGCCCCGCCCCGTCCCATCACAATTCTCTTTATCCTCCCAAGAGCCCCGCCCTTTCCCTTAGGTCTTCCAGCCCACGCAGGAAAGGTGAAATCTCGAGCTATCCCAAGCACCAGCAGAATTAGGAGTGCCAGGTTAACGGCAGTTCCCTATCCTTTCAGCTCTTTTGTTCAGATAACCACAGAATACAAATTTTTCATCTTTTCTGTCCTCCTCTCTCTCCTCTGCATCAAGCCCTCTTCACTTAGTAACACCTCTAGTTTAGATTCTATGGCCCCTTAAGTCAGCCTGTCGTCAGTGTTCTCAATTCCTTGATCTCCGTGTTCTTCTACCACCGCCTTCAGTTGGATCCATCCAGCTGCCAGCCGTCTCCCTGGGCTGAAACAGGGAGACGCTGGAAGATTGTGGCGATACATATCCACAATGTCCAGCTTACCTTGTGTCCCCACCAGGGCCTGCCACTTCCTTTATGTTGCCTCCCTTTCTTTTTTTGTATTCTGCAACATTCCCTTCAAACTGCCTCCCTGCTGTTTAAATCTCTGAACCCACCATCTCCCAGGTGCTTTCAGCAGAAGCAGGAAAGGGCTTGTTCCACACCCTGACCGTGGCTAACACATGTAGACCTTACGCTCAGCATTCTTACATGAATTTATACGTGTTAGCGCATCAGCTCCTTACGACAACCCAAGAGTGTAAGTGCATGAGATTATTATCTGGGAAACAAGGCCCTGGTATGTTAAATAACTTGTCCAAGGTTATACAATTAGAGGGTGAGCTGGGATATAAATCTGCAAAGTTGGCCTCAGAGCCTGTGCTCTTAATCACTGTGCTATGCCACCGGCTGCTTTTCAAAGCCCAGACAAGCTATCTTAATTCCTTGTTTGTGTCCACATTGCCCTCTTCCCTGTAATCCTGTTGGAATTGAAAACACTGTTGCCCCTCCTCTTGTCTGAAATAACTCTCTCTACTTCTGTTCTCTAGCCATCTCCCTTCTAGAAGCCTCTTGAGAGTTCTTACTCCACAGATTGCTTCCTCTTCTTCCTAACCTCTCTGTATTTCCTTTCCTTCGGATATTTAAATACCGTATGCTCAAATCTTCCTCTCTTCAAACTAATAAATCAAAGCCCTTGAACAACAACTAATTATCATTATTGTCCATCCCCTCTATTTACAAGTACACTTCTGTAAGAGTTGTCTGCAATGCCCACTTCCTCCTCTTTTCATTCAGTAGAATATTTGACTCACTGCAACCTGCTTCAGCCCTTACTAACTTATTGGTACTTGTTTCAAAATGGCCACTACGATCCTCTGAACACGTTGTACCACGTGACTTTTGCCGTGTTTGAAACTGCAGAGAGATATTTTGAAAGAGTTAGGCTGAGAAAAATTACTCTTGCCTCTTGTAGTGTTCAAAACCAATGACCACTCCCACAGTCAGTTATGTGTCTCATTTCCCATCTGAGCAAAATTGGATGATTTTTTTGTTTGTTTGTTTCATAATGCAAGTAAGATGAGTTTGTTAAGGTGTTTCCATACTGCAGCTGGTGTTTTCTTACCTTTCTCTACATATTTGTTAAATATACAATGATGAGATCAATTAAAATGGCATTGCACTAATAAATGTTGTATCTATACATTCTGTAGTTGCTCTGCTCTTGGTGTTTTAAAATATTTAATTTTTTTTTCAGTCCTCACTTGAAGACATTTTTGTATTTATCTTGAGAGAGAGGGAGAGAGAGAAACATTGATGTGAGAGGGACACATCGAATGGTTGCCTCCCGCCCGACCCTGCCTAGGGCCGGGGACAAACCACAACTGAGGTACGTGCCATTGACTGGAATCAAACCTGTGACTCACTGGTCTGAGGGCTGATGCACTAACCACTGAGCAAACCAGCCAGGGTTAAAATGCTTAATTTTTAAGCAGCTGGCTTCGCATTTTCATTTGGTGCTAGAACCTGCACATTGTGTATGTGATCTTTAACTGTCCTACAGAGTGTGTGAGAACTTTGTCTGTCTGTCTCCCTATCAATCGCTCTATCGATCTATGTCATCTATCTTCCATCTATGGAATACCTGGTAAACAGTAGTATTTAATGGGATTTTTTAATATTATTGTCATTTGCTGAGTTTTCAGCAGCTTCCCCTGTTCTGTACCTGTGTGGTGAAATCTAGGTTATAAACTTCTTAATTTGTCCATATTAAGTTTTATTTTTTTTTAGATTCAACTTATTTCAACCTATCAAGAGCGTTTCCCCCTTCTCTGTAGCACAGTGCCTTCCTGTCACATGCCGACTGGATCAGCGTGTCATTGGTGATGCAAACATTGCACAGAACAGAGTGGTCACGGCAGGTGCATCAGCGATCGTTCACCAGTACTTTCTGCTTGAGCTGTGTGTCCCCGCACAGACTCACCCAGGTCTGGTATCAGCGAGCTCGGATTCTGTCCGTCTCACCCACAATAATACACTGTTTGCAAATCTATTGCTGGAATCGAGACATGCTTCCAGCTACTACTCCACATAGAAAATTGTTCAGTAAACTTCTCCCTAACTTAAAAATTAACTTAGATAAAATTCTAGAATTAGTATTGAACAAAGAAATCAACGGAGTTAAACTAGGGAGAAAAAAAATCATTTTTTTGTTGGACTGTTTTATATTTATATCATGGGTCAGTGTATGCGTCTCCTATTGCTGCTATAACAGATGACCAGAAACTTGGTGGCTTAGAACAACAGAGTTTATCCCTTCCAGTTCTGGAGTCCAGGAGTGGACAGCTGAGGTGCTGCAGGGCCTTGCTGTTCCCGGGCTCGGGTAGAGCCCGTTCCTTGACTTCCGCTTGCCCCCTGCATTCATCGGCGTGAAGGCGCATCCCTCCAACCTCTGTCTCCATCCTTACTTGTCTTTCTCCTGTGTGTCTAATCTCTCTTTTTACCTCTTTCTTATAAAGACACTTGTGATGGTATTTAGGGCCCACCTGGAGAACCCAGGATAAGCTCATCTCAGAATCCTTAATTTAATCACATCTGCAAAGACCTTTTTTTAAATAGTGAAACTTCAATAGGTTCCAAGCATTAGGATGTAGACTTTTCTTTGAGAACAGTTCTTAACCGACCACAGGTAATTAAACCCTTTAATTTTGAATCATAACCCTGGCCGGTTTGACTCAGCAGTTAGAGCATCCGCCTGCGGACCGGAGAGTCCCAGGTTCGGTTCTGGCTAAGGGCATGTACCTCGGTTGCAGTTTGTCCGCGGCCCCGGTTGGGGGTCGTGTGGTTGGCAGCCAGTCGATGTGTCTCTCGCACATCGATGTTTCTCTCTCTCTCTTCCCCCCCTCTCCCTCCTGCTCTATCTGAAGATAAATGCAAAAATGCCCTCGGGTGAGGATAAATTAAAAAAAAAATTTATTTTTTGAATCATAGGTAGGAAGGGCATTATACATTTCCATCTTTAGGGCTGCTACATATCTTAACCTGGCACTGGATAGGAGTTCATTTCATAAGGACCGGCTTGTTCTCTCCCCCACCTGGAGCTGTAACCTCTCACCTCTGGGTTGCAGCGCTAGCAGGGGCCACACTGAACACGCCTCTGTCCACTGAGCCTGCAGGGAAAGCAGAGGACCAGCTGCTGCACTTAGAATGCTGGAAGTAACAAGTAACATGTTTTGCCACTATTACCAATAGAAATTGTCTTTGATAATAGCTTTATGGTGCTTCTAATCATATACCCTGATTGGTATAAAATAAATCATATGTCATGATTTCTGGTTTTTAAAATTCCTGCTGGACCAGCAGATAAGTCAGGGCTCTGGTCGAGGCTGGTATGGGAACGAGCCGTCAGAGGTGGTGAGCTGCTAGCTGGTGATGGTGCCACATAATCTTGGTCCTGGCACAGACTCCCAGCCTACGGATCAAGGCAGAACAAACCCAGGAGTGGAGGTCAGGGGCCCAGACTAGAGAAATTCCACAGGGCACAGGATGTCATAGGCTGGCCGGGACCTTCTCCTAAATTACCTTTTTATTAATGTGCAGGCAGTGAGTGAGAGAAGAGGAAAGAGGGAAATCCGAGAGTTCGCAGGCCTGGCTCTACAGCAGAAGAGACCAGTCAGGGGGTTACCTTTACATTAGCCTGGGGTGGTGAGAAAACTGTCGGTGGAATCTGGCGATTTAAAAAGGTGAGGTTAGCCCTGGCCAGTTTGGCTCAGCGGTTAGAGCGTCGGCCTGCGGTCCTGAGAGACCCGGGTTCGGTTCCCGCTAAGGGCACGTACTTCGGTTGCAGTTTGTCCCCGGCCCTGGTTGGTCGTGCGGGTGGCAGCCACTCGATGTGTCCCTTCACGTTGATGTTTCTCTCTCTCTCTCCCTTCCTCTCTCTCCCTCCCCACTCTATCTGTACAAAAAATGGAAAAGTATCCTCGGGTGAGGATAAAAAAATAAATAAATAAATAAAAAGGTGAGGTTAAATGGGAAGAGATGGCATTGGGCACTGAGGTTAAAAAGGGGAAATAAATTGACCGAAGACACACAAACCAGTAGTGTTGGCAGCTACTCTCATGGTTTCTCTCCTCTCTTCTCTCTACTCAGCCCTCCAACATCTATCTTTAGGGAGGTGACCGGCCATGAACCCTGCCTGCTTCCACTCAGTTCAACTTTGCCCTAAGCTGTTTTTGACCCGATCTGCCTTCCAGCTTCCAGTAAAGGGTCAGGTCTTTCCTCAAAACTATTCCTCGGAAAAGAGTGAGTCGTTTTATAAAAGAACCCTTATGAAGTCTGTTTCAGATCTCCTCAATCACTCTGCTTTGAAAAACAAAGCTTTTCAGGACAATGTATTGGTTGGAAATTGGCCCCAAGAATGCCATCTTTGGGTACTTACGGAGATCCCCTACATGAACGAGTAAAAATGTAGGGTAAAGAAATTCAGGAATGA